CCATGGAAATAGAGTCCTGCATTGGGATGCGGGTCAACGGAAATCTCGCAGGAGCGGCCGGTTTTAACCCTTTCAGGCTCAAATTAAGTTTTAGTAACTACAGGACAACCAAGTCCTGCAGTAGTACTTCTGAGTAAAAAAAACTCATAAAATATGTATGTGGGGTAATAAGGTAGTTAGTTTTTAACTGTTGCAAATCAGCAACGCCTGCCTTGAGAGGGTTAAGGTTGCCGTGGGTGGGAGAGGGTGGTTTTAAGCCTCCTCTGTCCATCGACTCAGCCATACCACCCAGCCCTAACCCAACCCGAGCAGGCCTGCCAGTCTGTGGGCACAGTGCCTCCTCTGTCCATCCACTCAGCCATACCACCCAGCCCTAACCCAACCCGAGCAGGCCTGCCAGTCTGTGGGCACAGTGCCTGCTCTGTCCATCGACTCAGCCATACCACCCAGCCCTAACCCCACCTGAGCAGGCCTGCCAGTCTGTGGGCACAGTGCNTCTGTGGGCACAGTGCCTGCTCTGTCCATCGACTCAGCCATACCACCCAGCCCTAACCCCACCTGAGCAGGCCTGCCAGTCTGTGGGCACAGTGCTTCCTCTGTCCATCCACTCAGCCATACCACCCAGCCCTAACCCAACCAGAGCAGGCCTGCCAGTCTGTGGGCACAGTGCCTCCTCTGTCCATCCACTCAGCCATACCACCCAGCTCTCACCCAACCCGAGCAGGCCTGCCAGTCTGTGGGCACAGTGCCTCCTCTGTCCATCGACTCAGCCATACCACCCAGCTGTAACCCCACCTGAGCAGGCCTGCCAGTCTGTGGGCACAGTGCCTTCTTTGTCCATCCACTTAGCCATACCACCCAGTTCTAACCTAACTCGAGCAGGCCTGCCATTCTGTGGGTGCAGTGCCTCCTCTGTCCATCCACTCAGCCATACCACCCAACCCTAACCCCACCCGTGCAGGCCTGCCAGTCTGTGGGCACAGTACCTCCTCTGTCCATCCACTCAGCCATACCACCCAGCTGTAACCCCACCTGAGCAGGCCTGCCAGTCTGTAGGCACAGTGCCTTCTCTGTCCATCCACTCAGCCATACCACCCAGCTGTAACCCCACCTGAGCAGGCCTGCCAGTCTGTGGGCACAGTGCCTTCTCTGTCCATCCACTTAGCCATACCACCCAACCCTAACCACACCCTAGCAGGCCTGCAAGTCTTGTGTTTTATAGCCCCCCAAAATAAATCCGTGCTTATTAGCTTAAGTCATGAATAGGTTTTTATATTATATATGTTTTCCATTGGCCCCCAACCTAGTAAAGACTCATCCCCTCTATCCGTTCATCTCTAACTACGTCCCTGGAAATATCTAATGTCCAATATCTAAGTTCAACATGAAATCTTATTGCTATGGTGCCAAGGTATAGTCCGAATTATAACTAAATGCTTGCTGAAAACATCTAACATGCTCATTTTATTACTTATAAATATTAAAAGTCTCATTCTGTCCTGAGTATCTCAAATGTAAATGTCATTAACTTCATTATAGCAAATCACACCCAAATACACGGCTTTCTTGAATGAGACGTGTCAGCTGCTTGTTGCCACTAGGGGGCGCCGTACGAAAAAAATGGCTAATTTCCACACAAAACCCGATTGTTTGTGAAAGGCGAGTAGTGCTTTTCTTTGGGAGCAGGAAATGAAACACTGACTACATACGTCATAAAACATTGTGAAATGTGATGACAGTTTAATCTATGTTAACATGCTGGAATTCTCTTTGGGGTTTTATGGGCAGAGTTTGTATGACAAAACAGAGCATCATTTCATATTTTATTTGATTACTGTTTAGTTTAGTTGCTTTAAGATTTGTGAATGGCTCTGGAACCATAAACAGAAGAATGGACTGGCCCAGATTAAGACTGAGGTGGTGCTTTTTATTGTTGTTTGAGGTGTATCTTTTGTATTATTCCAGTTTGGTAGTAGCTCACCAGACTGCACCAGTATGGACAGCTGTAGCTGAGGCACCAGAACCACGAAATGCAGCGTAACATGTGACAGGACAGCACTGTGATTCAGGCTGCCGTTCTGTCACTTCACAGCTCTGGGGCTGTGAACCCAACCCCGAATTTGCCTGCAGGTGAGTGCATGCACGGACATTTCCCACCAATGGCACGCCTCTGCCGGGACTTACTCCAACGGGCCAGGGTCCTGATTGGCTGAGGGCATATTGAGCTTGGATGCTAAGTGGGTGTATGTGAGTCATGCTTCCGGTTCTGGTTGTGTGACAGAGTTTCACAGAGGCTGCTTGTGACATTACATCACTGTCTGAGATGATTGTCGTCACATCACCTTTCTAGAAGAAATTCTGTCTTTCACCTGTCTTTGGACATTTAGTCAGGATACTTTTACTCTGAAATCAGAATTGTTACTCTCCACTACACTGTTTCATAGTAACTTTAAGCACCTGCAGTCAAATACATAGAAATGTACCACTGGGAACTTTTCTGCATTCCTCTGTAGAAACCTACTAAGGGTCCGAATCAACCAAGACCATGCTTTCATTCAGCACTGGTTGGGCTGTGGCACATTTTAAAGAGACTTTAGTTAATGTGGACAAATATGGTCTTAGGCTGTTCCTGTAGCGACACTGTAGAAGAACAAGTCGGACAGGTTCGTCAGCATGATGAATGATTTAGCATCGCAAGGTGTGTTACAATGGGGTTGCTCGCTCACTGCTTTGGTACAACCAAGTACAGTGACAGTGTTTTGTCCTGTGTCATGTCTGCCTCGGCAAGAGCAGTTAGGTATTAAGCTTAGCCTAAGTAAATGTTTCTCCATGTCTTCTGAGGGAACAGAGTAAGCCAGAGGTCACATGACCAGTTCAGGACTCCTCCACACTCCATAGCAGGTACAGTGCAGTGGTGAGGTAACCCTCAGCCACAATGAGACAACGGTGGGTCTCAATGCAGCCTTAACTAAAAGACTGTGACATTAATAAACTATTTCTGAAGTAAGCATAATGAAAAGGCCATGGATCTGTATCAAAATCATTTATGTTGCGGGGAATAGGTCACCGTTTGCTGTAACGTCTCACAAACTGCAGTCACACTGGTGTGTTTCTCTTTCACATGGGTGAGAATGACCTGCAATACTGGAAATTCACCCAACAAGTAAGGCCTTTTGGGAAAATGGCTGACAGTTTTTCTCCCAAAATCCAGACCATTACTCTGAAACCCAAAGCAGAATATAAAATGATTTAGATTAATTTGATTCTTAAGTAGACATAAATGCATGCTATTCATATCCAGATGATACATTATTTGACTCTATGGAACCTGCACGCCACAGGAACATTGGTAATACCATACATTTTACTTTTCTCTTTTATAATAACAATATAATAACGTGCATAAATAGGCCTGCAGTGTATTTCCCCTGTTTGCAGGCCAGGACACCGGGGCCGCGGCTCGCATATTCCGATATCCTGCCTACACTTCCTCGTATGCAAAAAAATACCGCGGAGGAGAGGGTGTGCTCGCAGTCACACTATTTCTGGGGTTTAACAACATTTAACTCACGTAACAGCTTTCCAGAGAAACACCCGTGAAGAAGCTGTCAAACCGGTGCGGGTTTCACGGTAAAAAACGACAGCGCCGACCCGCTGTAATCGGGTCTTTAATACCTCCGTATGTATGACATTAAATCGTAGATTTAACAACCCAAACCGCCAATGTACCCCATTTAAAATCAGATTCTTTGTAATACTCAGACATCCAGAAAAAGCAAACTAAACAAAAACTAAAAAAAATCTCCCGGACATAGCTAATATCCCAAAGTGTGGCAGGGCAGGGTGCGGAGAGGCGGGCGGCGGACGCTCGGCCCCTTCGGACGCCTCTTCACCCGAGGAGCCCCGTAAACACATCGGCAGGCTACGGAACTCGGCCAGATGCCGGTGTCTGACAGGATTTACAGGACTGAATGGAACTGGAACGGCGTCGTGGCCATTATCCAGCTCATTTTAATTACTTCTCTTCAGGGTAATCACTGAAGACAATAAAACTTCTCATAACTGTAACATTTCATCCGTTTTGATGAATGGGTGGTGTTTGTTTAAATGAAATAGTTTGGAAGCTGTAGGACTTGTATTTTTTTTATTTTTTTGAAAAAATACTATCTAACCATATTTAAGAACACTTTGGAAGGATGTCATTACCATGCACTCACCAAACATGCAAAAATACACAAACGATATTTCTGCCTGAATAGTTAAAATGATTATATCCGACTATCAATAAACAACAAAATCAAAATGTCATACTAATGGTTTTCTGCGTCACAGCCAAGCGTGTCTTTTAACAAAGACCCTTTGTACTATGTATAGCTGTGTGAAGGATTCACACCGCCACTTCAGTTTCTCTTTTTTTTTTAATGCTGTTCCCAGTTTCATTTCAAAACCGGTAATGTGTCGTATTTATATAATATCCATTCACTCACTACTGAATATATGTATGTGTGTGTGTGTGTGTGGGGTGTGGGGGGG